TGAACCGCCCAGAGGAGCTTCCTGGGGAGCAGTGAAGAAGCCAGCACCCTATCCCCCCAGCCATGAGTTACCACCTCCCCTTCAGCTAACAGCCCCTCTCAGGATAAAGGGCATAATTCAGCTGCTTGATCATCCCAGGCCCTTGTTGGTATCAGGGATCTGATACAGGATCTGGTTTCTATGGGAAAAACCACCCTCAAGGAGACAGTAGATGGCATGGTAGTTAAGGTGCTAGATACCCACGTGGCTGACCACAGTTCGAGTCCCGGACCTGGCGGTTTGCTTTCTCACTTTCTCTCTCTTTCTCTCTCTCTCTGTCTCTCTCTCTGGTCAAATTAAAATAATAATAAATTAAATAAATAATTATTAAAAAAAAAAAAACTAAACAGGCACATGTGCATGTGTGCCCCAAATCCTCACAGGATGGAGAAAAGGAAGAAAAGGATTGTAGCATGACCATGCCCCCATGGGGGGCTGCTTTCCTTCTCTCTCTCTCTCTCAAGCACACATATACTCTTGGCTAGTTAAAAATAAAATGTCAAGCCCGGGCTGACAGGTGGCGTGGTGGTTAGGGTACTGGACTTGCATATGGCTAGCGGTTTGAGTCCGGGATCTGGCAGCTTGCTTCCTCGCTTTCCTTCCCCCGCTCTCTCTCTAGTCCAATTAAAAAATAATAACATGGACCAGCAGATGGCATAGTGGTTACATCACTGGCTCACTGGGTTTAAGTCCTGTACCTGGTGGCTTAAAACTCATGCCAAGTGCATATGAGTGCATGCTCAAAATCCCAAGAGGAGATTGGGAGAGAAGGGGTTGTGGTGTGACCATCCCTCCTGGGGGGTGGTGGTTCTTGCTTTCTGTCTCTCTGGTAAGTGCCTGTGCTCTATAGCAAAAATCTCTCTTTAAAAAAAAAGAAGTAATAACAACAATAAATAAAATTAAATTAAATCCCATTGTCCTCTTGGGATCTTGGGCATGCACACACATGTGCTCAGGGTGTTATAAGCTGCTGAGTCCAGGACTCGAACTGTGGTTGACTACGTGGGAGTCCAGCAACGTAACCATTATGCATCTGCTGGTCTCTGATCCTTAATATACAGCTTACCACTTTTCTCAAATACAAAACACATTCAGGAACCAGCAATTAGCGTAATGTCTATGTCACTGGACTCCCACGTAGTTGACCGCGGTTCACGTCCCGGACCCGGTGGCTTAAAACTCACGACGGGCACGTGTGCGTGCGTACCCAAGATCCCGAGAGGAGAATGGAGGAGAAGGGATTGTGGCGTGACCATCCCCTCTGGGGGGTGGTGGCTGACCACAGTTCGAGTCCCGGACCTGGCGGTTTGCTTTCTCACTTTCTCTCTCTTTCTCTCTCTCTCTGTCTCTCTCTCTGGTCAAATTAAAATAATAATAAATTAAATAAATAATTATTAAAAAAAAAAAAACTAAAACCCGCTCCTTAACTTGTCATGCAGCTACATGACTGGCTTATGTTTAGAAAAGCTGCTAAGATCCATTGGCATCTTCTTATCAGCTGTAAGCAGGTAAGTTCCATTTAGAGAGATCCCTGGTCTCGGTAGCACATCAGGCTCATGGCGGCCTTGGCATTCACACCTCGCAGAACCATGAATTCTAGCAGTCCCTGGGAGCCCAGGAGCCCTCAGGACAGGCCGGAGGTAGTGTGAGCTGTGGCCCGCCTACTCATTTCTCCATCCCATGTTCTCTATCGGCCTTTTGCAGCAGCACCCTCCTGGCTGCAAATTACAGAAAACCAACTCCCACTGGACACAGAGAAAGGGAATGTACTGGCTCATGTAACTGGAAAGCCCAAAGGTGGGAATAGTCCATATCCCAGGCCTGCCTCGACCCAGGGGTCAAACAATGGCGTCAGTACTTGGTCCTCCCTCTTGCTTTTCCTCTGTTTATGTCTCTTCTCCCCCATCCTTGTGGGCCTCCGTGTGCTGGACTCCAGACAGGCATCCGCACAGCTCAGCACACGAACAGAGCAAAGCTTTCCCATGGCTTCCCGAGAAAGTCCCCGCATGTGAGCCTCATTGCACCAGCTTAGGTCGTGCCTGGCCCCAGATCAGTCTCTACAGGCAGAGGAGGGCGTACCACCTGTCAGCCACCCCACCAGAACCACATGGCTCATGAGTAGTGACAGGGTGATTCCCCAAGGGACAGTTGAAGTGCTATTACAGGGAGGAGGGAGGGTGGATGTTTCAAGCCAAAAATAAGGAAATGTGCATTTGTGTGTGATCCTGGTATTTCCCACTGGAAGGAAGAATGTCCAAGCTATTATGTCACTTTACCTGTGGACAGGAGGACAGGGTGAATGAACAAAGGTCCTTGGGATCCTTTAGATGGGAAAGGGCTGAACTTGACAAGCATTTTATTCCTACTTTTTTTATCCCTCGACAGTAACCGGTACCTTATAGAATTTCTTGAGGTTGGAGGAGTCCTGACACTCTTGGAAATTCTCGGACTGGCAAAGATTAAGGAGGAGGACAAGAAGGAGTCCATCAAGCTGCTCCAGGTCATTGCAAACTCCGGCAGGAAGTACAAGGAGCTCATTTGCGAAAGCTATGGTGCGTACTGTGTGTGACAAGGGGGTCGATTCCCCTCCCCCCAGGGGCCTGGGTGACATGGTGGCCGCACCCACCACTGCTATAGCAAAAAACCATCACGGTTTCCATGTCACCACTGGAAACCCTGGATCTGTGATTTTCCTGGATTATCATTTGCTCAAATTTTTCTATAGTGGTTTTAGAAATACTTCATTTTATTTTTATTCATTCATTTTCATTTGTTATTATTATATTTTAATTTGACCATAGAGAGACAGAGAGAGAGAAAGAGAAAGCAAGAAAGCAAGCTGCCAGGTCCGGGACTCAAACTGTGGTTTTCCCTGTGGGAATCCAGCACCTTTAACCACCACGCCACCTGCTGGCCCTATTTTTTTTTTTTTTTTGGAGAGATATTTCCTACAGAGTGTGTGTGCTCGCTGGAGAGACAGAGAAACAGAAAAGGAGAAATCACTCCCCCAGGGGGGATGGCTACACCACAATCACTTCTCCCCCACCCTCCTCTCAGGATTTTGGGCACACTTGCACACAGCGTGGGTTCGGGACTTGAACCATGGTCAGTTAGGTGGGAATCCAGCAACATAGCCATCACACAATCTGCTGGACTCCAGCAACATAACTGGGACACCATCTGCTGACCTGAAAGGATACATTTAAAATGAAGAAGTGGGACCGACTGCGGCTGGAGTCCCAGATCCAGTGGCTTGAAAATCATGTCAGGCGTATGTGTGTGCACACCCAAGATCCTGAGAGGAGAATGGAGGAGAAGAGATTGCAGTGTAG